TCAATCCGCGCACACATAAAATTTGTTATTGCCGCGATAATAATTCACGCTTTTTGTGCGTATTGTAATGTAATGGACTTCCTTGCAGAAGGGAAGAAAAATTGCATTTGGGGCGCGGTCACATTCCCAGACGTTTCACAATGCGTGGAACTTCAAGAACCCACAAAAGAATACATTTCGGTAATATAGTTTAGTGTTTAGGTACAAAAACAATGCGAGAATGAAATAAAAGTATTTACGTAATAACATTCAAAATATTTAGCGCGTAAAAAGTGAAACTTTTGCCCGAATTGTAACGAAAAGTAATGGTCCAAAATGAAATCAAGTTTATGTACTTTTCTTGTTCAGCAAGAGGTGTGCGTTGTGTTCGTGTGGCAGCATTAAAATGTATGCGATTTCGAAGGCGATGCAACAGCGGACGCAACGTTGATTAATGGACGGGGTCGCGAATTCTTTGCGAAAGAACGCCCAAACGCTTGAGAAGCACCGCACACTCGCCTGCAAATCTTGACGGGTATAAATTTATTTCACGCCGAAAACATTTGACTCACAGCAATACAAATGCAGATATGACCACCAGAAGAAAACCGCCAGCGGAGCAAAATACGAAAAGAAAAATAGACGAATCCAAGGGGTGAAAATAGAAAAAATTGTCCACCGAGGCAAATTTCTCAACAGGGTTTAAGGTGCTCTTCATCTATGTCCGACACGAATGTCATTGGATTTAGCGTAGGCTTTAAATATTTATTACCCTGACAAATTGAAAGAAAAAAGAAGAAGAAAATAAGCAAAAATTGCGATATTGCAGAACTTATTTATGTTTACTCTGTGTGTCACTCACCCCTCCGGTGTTGATTGTATACCATTACACCCGAGTAAACAAACCGTAAATCTTATTATATGAGAAAGCATCGATCGTGAGTTTTGGGCGCGCAAAGTTTGCACAAAGTGTAATAATCCTGGGCGATGGCGGTGCAACGCGATGCGAATATTACGTGCGGGGCTGCAATCGAATGTACGCCGAAAATTCGCCCCAGTCTATGTGGGCGGTGTTGGAAGCAGGGTGCGTTCGTTCTTATTAGTATCACTTGTCACGAAGCCCGTCCGTCTCTATTAGTCTGCGAGATGATGAGAGCCAACCGGCGCATGCGGCACCTCCGCCAGGCGCGACTCTCGTCTACCACACAATGATTTATCTATAACTACATGAAACCACCTTGCAGCAAAATGTTGCTGATGTAAATATACAGAATGAATCAAGAATTTATTTTAAAAAATCATTTAAAATCACTTTTTCTTTTTAAATTTAAAAATGTGATAAACTCAAAAATGATCAGTAAGCGTTCCACGTAAAATATATATTCAACACTAATTGCCCCCTTGTTCCCAAAGCTTTGAAAGCTTCTCCATCTGAATTCTTATTTGTTGCGACTAAAGCAGATTGCACACAGCCGGCTAAAGCCAAAACCAAAACCAATCTGAATTATTTATAAGCGCCGACTCAAAAGCGTGCGTTAAATATTTACAAGGCGCGCGATTGTCTCCGAGATGCCCCATCAACTAAAAGAGTGCGCGCACAAAAAGCGCTCTCGGTTTTGTCTCGCATCCGCACTTCACTCTTTCATCCGCTGCAGCCACATCCACTTGCAACAACGGTGGTGACTTATCATACATACATGGGGTGAATACAAGCGAGGATGAAAGGGATGAACCCGCATCTACGGAAGTAAATAGAGGAATATAGATAGTCATAAGAAGATATCGCATATTGTCACGTTTCACAAGCCACACAACTTGTATTACACATTGCAAGCTGTGAACGTTTTGTTAATTTTTATAAGGTTTTGAAGAAAATTTTACCAATATTAGCTTATTTTTATAGAAATAAATGCCGGTTTCCTTTTATACAGAAGACTTTATCAAGATGGATGTTCATAAGTAGATGAAAACTGAAACTGCAAGGCTCGCGGCGGATGATTTACGATTCCACAACGTTTCGCAGCCTCTCACAGCGTTAAAGTTGATTTTCTAACACGCGCACGGCGTGCAGAAATTAATTCACTTCGCTAATACTTTGAATGTCGTCGCCGTACCAAGTTTAACTTGAACTTTACCACTGATGAAAAAGTATAAAGCAACTGCATCACCTTGCATTTGCCCCGCCCGAGATTGAACTTCCTAACGTACTCAAAGTGTTCCTTTATACAAGAAGTGGCTGCATCGAAAAGTTTCGCGCATAGAAGAGCAAAGAGTGGCAGGGCAGATTGCATGAGACAAGCAATTAGTGCTCATGTTGATAATTTGTAGGCATGTAGCGGTGCACATGAGAGAATTAGGTTCAAAGAGGGTTGCTTTACTATACACTTGATAGAAGAAACCTTAGACTCTAGGTATGGTATACAGCTAGGTATGATTTATTAGTAACCAGTATCCATAGATTTTTGTGCGTGATATAAATCATCGCTTTCGTGGTGTTGGCCGACTGTTGCTGCAATACTTCATTAGAACTTTACTCACAAGATGAGAGGGGCAAATGAGTTATTAGAACGGAAGATTAATGTGCAACAAAAACATGTCACACCGCTTTACTGCAAAACTTAAACCACAAAATATCACTAAAGAATAAATTTATTTTTTGTGGATAAAAAATGTGGTTTGAAGATGAAGAAAAGAACTGTCGATAAAGCAATCATCAAACATGTACCATGTACCACGCCAAGGAATAAAAAAAAACGGTGTTCTCGCCACCACGCGCACTGATGCAGGCAGAATCCAAAAATAAGGGATGGCTACTACGTCCACCCTCGATATCCCAGGAGGTTTCTGGGGGTTGCGCGTCGATATTAAATGTCGCCAATGCTGGTGAATTAATAGACCCCAAAAGGGCCGGGAGCGGCGCGCGCCTAACCCAATTAAGTTATCAATGGATGCTTGTTTAACTGGTCGTTAGGTGGGCTTATGATTCATGTAGCTACTTAGTTAAAACTAATCCAATTTTATACTCGCTTATGTTCCCTGTCACCAACTCACGAACTTTTTGAATTCAATTTCAGGGCATTGGAAATCTCCATTTGAAAACCAAAAAAATTTTACCTGGAACAAAAAGAAAGTTTTGTTAGAAATAATTTTAATAATAATAAAACAAAATTATATTTTTTATTCGTTTAGCCATTAATAAAATATATTGTTCTTTCAGTTTTCCACACCGTTAAACAAGAAATTATTCCAGCCGCTTGGCAAAAAGATAAATGTCCTAATAAGAAAGGAATTAAGGCTGATGCAACGCCTCTGAAAGACAAAACCTACGCGCATCCCCCTAAATTTTTATAGGTACGCGTCGCGCACTCACAATGAAGGACATAAGTCTCGATAAAAGCGGATTTCGCGCTGAATGCAAATGCATTGCATAACCTTGCACCCGACGCGACATTCCACCCACAAAATCCCGAGACTAGCGCACGCGGTTCGCGAAAAAAGCAATAAGAAAGAGTGCATCCCCGTCAACCCTCTACAATAAAATACCGTACAAGACGTGCGCGCATATAAAGATGAATAAAATTTTCGCACATCACAAGCGGCGAATATTCGCAAAATTTACACACAACTTTATTCGTCAACTTCCTGCCGCAGGATGTTTTCATGCGGCCAATACTTTTTAAGTAAAAAGTTTCGCTGCGGTAAAAATTCAGGTGCGTTGTAAATTTTTTAACATCCATTAAACACAAACACACGGTGACAATTTTATTCTGAAAAAGAATAAAAGCCGGCCGTATATTTTAAACCACGCAAAAATCCCGTTATCAATATTTAAACACTGTTTAGAACTTTTTGCGCGACACGAAAAAATTGAGTGATAAATAATTCACTAAGAAAATATTTATTAAACTTGAAAAGTCTCGTGTGATGGAAAATCCCTCAATAGGCTTAAAATAAAGGGCTTTCGTCGGAGGTTTCGATTAAATATTAATGAAAGAATAGCACCGACTTCCGTCCAATATTTTCCGCGTTTGATATGCATGTTGTCATCACCCTCTCGCTTTTCGAACCCATCCGAATGCAGATGCGACAAGATGGGAAAAGTATCGCACGAAATGAATGCGTTCGTGAGTTTCCCTCTTTTTCGGGATTCGCGATTCTATATTCGAGATAGACGATTCTTTCACGTGCGGTGAACAGTCCGTTGAATTATATATAACGTGGGAGTCGAATTCTCCGAAGTGGACTTCAATACATCACGAAATATCCCATCAGAAGAATACAAATAGTGAAAAAAATGGAATATACAATATGATTAACAAATCGAGTTAAATTCCAAATTTACAAATTTAATTAAAAGACCTGTCTTTCCTTAATTAAAATGAACTTGCACTTGATTTGTTTAGTTTCAGTGCAAACGTGTGAAACTCAAATACAGAAATTGCTGAGCCAAAGTGCGCTGCGTTGTAAATATTAATTTAGCTTCGCAGATAATTTAAATTATGCCATCAGCTGGCTACGTAGAGGAAGGCGGCGGTGTATTGTGCATCGTCGCACCGCATTGCAGTGGCAGTTTGATTAGAATTTCACCCGAAGGCACCGACCAGCATCCACATTCTCCACAACCAGCTAGCAAAGTAATGCATAAAATAATGAGAAATAAATTGGCACAATTCATGCGAGACCTGCCAAATGTGTCAGCAAAACATGTGACATTGTATACTATACATAACATAACCTCTAAACATTACCAAATTCAAAATCAAATTTTATTCCCTGGAAGAATATTGGGAAAACCGGAAAACATCTGTTCAACTGTTATGTCCTGTTATGCATCGAGTTGAGATTCGCTGTCGTTTAACCGAAACTTGAAAGTTACTGTTACGGATTCGGATGCGACCTTCTGCTCCTCCTTGAGAGCACAGAATGGACAATTTACATAAACGATACATTAACAACGCAAGGTCCGCCTTTGTGGGGGTGCTGATAATCGTAACATTTTAGACAAACTACGAATTTCTGCAGGGAGTCTTTCCTCGTGGAAATTACCATCTTTGTCGATTAGATCCATCGCTTCAAAAAGGCATTCTGTGAAGCAGTCGCCCTTTTCATCTTTGCATACTTTCGTTATTTCAGATATTTTATCCTCCAATACATTGGAATATGCCTAGATATGTATAAATATAATTTTTAATCATAAAAAGATCACTTACTTAACTTACCAAGCCAAAAAGGGCACAACTCAAAAAAATCAAAAATAATTTCATTTTTAATGCTTGCAATACTTTTGACCACAAATCAACCAATGATAGTATTATATCAGGCTGTATTTATACAAATAAAATTAATTCGAGGTTATTCATGTTTGAAATAACGAATCGACATGCAAGGTCTATATTATACATTTCCGACAATAACAGATACATGGGTTTTAATTAAAATAATATTATTCGACTATTTCGGAAAACAGTCGGCGACAGCACTAGCCCTAGCACAGCCGCTGAATTGATTAGTCTCGTTGAAACATTCCACTGCTTTCACCCGCAATCTTTCCGGAATTACCTCTTCACGGAAATTATCATTTGCATCCAACATGCCGGATTCTTTCATGATACATTCAAACATACACTCTTTGGATAGTGTTTTCTGTCCGCATGTTTTCATTGCTTTATCCACTGAATTTTTGAATTCTTCTTCGGATTGATCAGCAACCACACAAGTCTAATTTTGAAGTTTTAAGAGTTTTATTAATAAATATTGAATGGAAATTTGTTACTTACTAGGCCAACGAATACAATTATAAGGAGAATTTTCATGATGAATTATTTCTTGTTTGACGTAGAGTAGATTTGAAACTGTTTCGAAAACAAATTCTCTGGATGTTTATAAGCAATTTTTAATTAATTTGAATAATAGGAATCATAAGCGTAACGAAAAACATCCGTTTTTATATGTTAATTTGACATTTATTCAAATTTTCCAATTGCTTTAATCAAAACTATTAATTATATTAATCTTGTGGGAAGGGCTTCATCATTATCTAATGTTTTTATAACCGAATGTTAAAATAATATTTGTTGAACAAGTTTTTATTTAAAAAATATAGTTTACAACCACGAAAAAGCAAAAAATATTTTGTATGCTTTTATTTTATATTTATATTTATATTTTTATCAAATAACTACTGATTACCATTTTGGATAACATCCGGTTATCTTTGTAGCCCTTTCACACGCACCTAAATTTTAAATCTTTCATAACAAGCCGTTATTTTCTCATGATATTCCTCGGGTAATACTTCAATGTGCAAATCACCATTTGAATCGATCAAACAAATCGTCTCAACAATACATTGCCTATAACAACCCTCCTTAAAATCACAGCTGACCATTGCTTTACGAACCGTTTTCACAAATTCATCGTTGCTTGGTGGTTCTGAAGATGGATCAATGGATAAAGTCTAAATAAATTAATGATGTTGATTTTTGTAAAATTGGTTAGGTGAAACATACCATGCCAAATAAGGCAACAATAATAAAAACTTTCATTTCGATATTGACTTCAATTCAATTCAATAGTTTTCAATTTGATGTTAACTTAGGAACTGATAAAATGACGAAACATTTCACATATTTATATAAAAATATTATTAAATTATTACTATGGGTTTTTCTCTAAAATCAGTACCATAACGATAAACATCATTTTTAACCCGATTAATAATCATTATCCTGACACATTTTTTATTGTGTTTATTGCAGAACAATCGTTTACAAACACACGTGCAATTGTACTCGTATTTATGATGACATACATTAAAAGTGAGTACGTATTCCAACTCCAGTTGTCTCGAAACACTCTCCTATTTTAGTAGCCTGTACACAACCCGCCTCTAAATCCTTGAATTTGTCGTAACAAGCCTTAGCCTTTTCCTTATATTTATCAGGAAACACTTCAATGTTGAATACGTTTTGCTCATCCAAAACTTTCAGCTCATCCATCAGGCATTTGTTAACACACTCAGTTTGATTGCACTTTTTTTCAGCTGCGTCTACCACATGTGATTCAGGTGGTGTAGCAATTGTGTGGCTCTGTATATTTGTTATAAAATATAATAAATTATATGTATTTCAAATGTAAATAAGATCCATACCAATAAAATCGCAAAAATAACGACGTACATCATCTTGACTTGACGGAATGTTCACTGTTTGATAATGAAATAACAACTGACGAAATTCCGACACGCAGTTTGTATTTATACGCTCATGGACAATGTTTATTTAATTTAAATAGCATAAATCAATTAGAGCCAAGTTATATAGTTCTCAGAAATACAAATAGGATTCATTTGAAACAGCGACTGGACCGAAAACAATTAGGTACGTCAACTTAACTTAACTTAAATATTACCTTGACATTGAAATTAGAAGATTTGTATTGTGAGAACTCTTGTATAAATTATATTTGTGTAAAACTTAGTGTAGAATTAATAAGCACTCATTACATATGATGTAATTAGCCACCTATCAACAAATTAAGACCAGCACAGGTAATTCTAGATTCTGTAAATTCTGTTAACACTCAGAGACCAAACAAATTATTTCTACTTGCTGCTGGTAAAATATAACCAGCAGAGCATGTTTATTTGCAACTTTAACAACATTCAAGTATCTATAATGCTGTGATATTGTTTATCTCTTGATATTGTGCAATAACATTAACACGCAAATCATCTATCACTTGTTTTTTGTAAACATGGTTCAGTTCCTAAGTCAGAAACTGTCTGACAGTCGTCTACTGATGAATAAAATAAAAACATTCTATAATCTTCAATCAACGAGTTTAATTTTCCGGACATCACAAATTCTTCATCATAATAGAATTGTATTTATTGCAAAATAATTGTTTTAAGCTTTGCACACACACACACGTGCATTAGAATATAATAATTATAATAGCACTCGTTAAAAGTTAAGAACGTATACCCACACCAGTTGTTTCGAAACACTCTCCTATTTTTGAAGCCTGATCACAACCCGCTGGTAAATCCTTGAATTTCTCATAACAAACCTTTGCCTTTTCCTGATATCTTTCAGGGAACACTTCAATGTGGAATACGTTTTGATCATCCAAAACTTTCAACTCATCCATAAGGCATTTGTTAACACACTCAGTTTGATTGCACTTTATTAAAGCAGCGTCTACCATTTTGGATCGGGGACTGTAGCAAGTGCATAGCTCTGTTTATTGGTCAAAAAATGAAATAAATTATAAGTAAATTAAATTAAATTAATACCATACCAAAAAAATCGCAAAAATAATGACGGATTTCATCTTGACTGAATGTTCACTGTTCGATATTGAAACATCAACTAAATTATTTACGCTATGTATGTTTATAAATGTTAATGGAGAATGATACATTCTCGACGTCAAACAGCAAAACATGTTTATTAGCAATAAAGTTGTGTAACATCAGATATTATCAAAATTAAATCCATTAATCTAATTATCCATTATTGTAATTCAAATGGCCCTGAAATTTATTCTGCCATGAATGTATTGTTAATAATGAACTGATCAAATTGCTATGAAATCATTTTCACAATTTTGGGAAACATCCCGCAACATTTTCAGCTCGGTAACATGGCTCCAAATGTTTAAACTTTTTATAACATCCTTCTACCTTGTTTTTAACTCGTCTGGCAAAACATCGATATGAAAATCACCATTTCGATCAATCAAGTGAATTGTTTCAACGATACATTGATTAAAACAACCACGCTGAACTTCACAGGTTATAACTGCTTTATGGATTGTTTCAACAAACTGGGCATTAGTAGGTGCTTCATCGGAATCAATTTCAATTCTTTCCGTTGATTCTTCGGAAAGTGAATACACCTAAATTATTATTTTTTAAATTTAAATTTTGAATAAAATAAAAATCTTACCAAGCCAAAAATAGCAAATATTATTAAAAACTTCATATTAATTTGATCTCAGTCCGATAGTAATTTGTAACTGATGAGGCGATGTCAATGTTTAAATATTTATACCATTTTTAAATCAATTTTCTATTTAAAATCAAAACCAGAACGATAAACATCAATTTGAATACCTATACCTGAATAATATTTATTTTTCAATAAATCAATATGTCGACATGAATAGCGCGTAATATTTATTTATCTTGTTCGGCCATATTTGACAATCATAATATTAATATCTACATTATGCGGCAATTCTTCAATTGAGAGTTTCAAGGCTTTTTTGGGAAACATTCGGCGATTTTCGTCGCTTGTTCACAGCCCTTTAAATCCTTGAATTTCTCAAAACACTCTTTAGCTCTTGGATGGAAATCCTCAGGGAATACGTCAACGTGGAACGTGTTATCAGCATCAAGAAGACCAAGCTCATCAAAAATGCATCGATTAACACACTCGCCTTTATCTTTACATTTTTCCATAGCCGTTTTAAGTGTTGCTTCAAACTCTCCTGGAGTTGTCGCAGCAGCTAATGCCTTTATAATTTTAATTTGAGTGTTAATTCAATTGATTTTGAAGTTTATTTCACTTACCAAACACACAATTCCAAAAACCAAAACTGATTTCATTTTTATTCCGAATCAGATGCTTACTCTTAGTAGATAAACCATAAACTGATGTCATGATACCGAATTATTTGATATTTATACCCGAAAATTTCTATATTTCATAATTTATTATAACGGGTGTAATTATCCCACGTGCTTTTATAGCAAACAAAAATAAAACCTATTCACACATTTCATTGAAAACCACAACCAGAACGAAAACATCACATAGTATATAATAGAAGGTGTGATTCACATTTATTCAGCCAGTGTTACAGAGGTTATAATATAGCACACTTTATCTGATCATTATTTATGACCAATGCAATCAGCGAAATGCTTGGCACGCTCGCAGGGATTTTCATTCTTGAATTTTTCGAAACATTCCGCGCCGTGTTTCTTCAAATCTTCAGGCAGGTGTTTATCACTGAATTTTCCAGATGCATCGATGACATTCAACTCGGGATCTTCAGCTACGCATCGATGGAAGCAGGCTTCTTCGACTTTTTTCTCAGCGCAACGATTTGCAGCTTCTTTTACTTCTTTACCGAAATCTTTGATAGTTTCGCTATGTGCCACGTAGGCCTAGTACCAGGAAATTAATAATTACACTGCGTTTAATTATATTTAAAAAATTTAGCTTACCAAGCATGCAAATGCAAAAATTGTAATAAAAAACTTCATTTTGGTTGATAAACGTTTAGTAAGTTGTTATACTGAACACTGTGCTGCTATAAATTTCAGTGCGCTTTTTATATGCAAAATATTTCATTATTACGTGACCAAAATCATTTAAAAACAAAGAAAAACAGTTAAAACTAAATGATCCAATTTAGGCATCATATTTCTGCTTAAAACAAAATTTATGTTGTTATGCAGTCATTGAATGATGAATCGCTTCCCTTGTCTCTTCCAAAACACAAAGACCTCTCTTAACAGCCTTCAAACACATTTCCTCTTCATTATTAACAGTTCCACAATTTTCAACGATCTTTACCATGTCCACACCATCAGGTGAGTACTTCTGAAGATTCTCCAGATTCAATTCCCCATTTTCATCAATTTTATGCATCTTGATCATCATGCAACGATGGAAACAAGCTAACTTTTCGTTTTTCAATGCTGCATCAAACCCTCCACTTTGATGATCATGTCCTGCATTATCACCGTGCTTCCAATCAGAAATCATAGTACTCAAGTCTGTGTTAGTCTCTTTTACACAGTTCATGAATATAGTTTTTAAATTTAACATGCTTGCCTTAAATGTGCATAGACTGAACGAGTGTACTTTTTCACATGTATCCAACTTTTTCTGTCCCTCTGCTTCGATGCATTTCAACGACGCTTCTTCCAATTCTTGGGGACATGATGCGCGTGATAGGCCCCATCGGTGTCAATAACGTTTAATTTTAACAGGACGCACTGATCTAAGCATTTCATTTTATTTAGAGTTTCTTCAGGTAAAGGGCTATTATCTTTAGGTAAAACAATTCCTTGTTCCGAGAGGCAAGCGATGTGAGCATCGTGAACTTCTTTTGGCATCCACTGATGCATTGGGCGGTATGCCTGAATTTTAATTTATTTTTGGAAATGTTTATTTATATATTTATAGAAACTCACCAAAGCAGAGGCAAAAAGTGATATTAAAATTAATTTCATTATGACTAAACCACTGGTTGTTTAGGAATGATGGAAAACGGATGGAAAGCTAATTTATAAGTAACCTTGTAATAATAGAAATATTTTACACGTGTTTTCTTGTAATAATTAATGTAATTATATATCCGCATGCAATATTTTTTCGAAATCTAGTTGAAATTAATTTTAAAAAATTGTAAAAATATGGTTAACAGCATTTTTCGTAATTAATTTTCATGATTCAATATTTCAGCGATTTTGATAATCTCTGATTTATTAGATTCGTCCCTTCTAATAAAATATCTATTATACTATCAAAAATACTTGAAAAATGTTAAGAGATGAAAATTGGTATAAAATTTCAATTATGCTGAATAATTATAAATAATTGAATTATAGAATAATAGAATTGCGCATTTTATTAATGAAATTCGACACATACAAGTAATTATTTCATCCATTTCAACATTTTATTTGTAAATATTTCCCCAAATACAAAGTGCAATTACATTAAAACAATAAACGAATTCATTGTTTATTGTTTAAAGTTCTTCTTCATCTCTTGCATGAAGCACAATCCTCTCTGTGCAGCCTTGATACACTTATCGTCTTGATTATTATCATTGGTGCAAGTTTCAGCAATTGCCTTTATATCAACGCCTTCGGGAGCAAACGTCGTCATGGCATCAACAATAAAATCATCATTTTCGTCCATCCTCTTCATTTTAATCATCACACAGCGATGGTAGCAAGCCTTCGACTCATCTTTCATCATTTCTTCAAACATACCAGGCCTTGGTGGTCCATGACCTTGTGGGGGTTTAATCTCGGTGTTGGTTTCCGCTGCGCATGTGTCACTCAAGACCTTCAAACCTTCAGCAATTGCCTTGAAATTGCACTTCATGTATTTATGCGCACGTTCGCAAGCTTCAAGCGCTTTGTTTTCTTCGAAACATTTTGTTGCAGTTTCCTTCAACTCGGCAGGAATATCTTTATCGTTGAATGTGCCATCAGCACTGATCACCTCTAACTTTTCGAGGATACATTTGTCTAGACATTTGAATTTGGGATCCATTTCTTTTGGAGGTGGACCACGCGGGCGGTCTTTCGGAATTTCAATACCCAATTCAGTCATGCACTCATTGCGTACCTTGTGAACCTCTGGGGGCATCATTGCACCCAACATTGGATTCATTGCCTAGATATTCATATATTCATATCATAAACCAATTAAAATAAAACACAATTTTCTTACCGTAGCAACAGCCACAATGAAAGATAAAACCACTAGAACCTGCATGTTTTTGCTTTACCTTTGCAGATAAAAACCGAACTGACGTGCTTCAAAATAAATCCGCACAATTTATACTAAAAATCAAAGCTGATAATCGCGTAATGTGATCTGAAATCTCATATTGTGTCACACGCGCGCTATAATTACCGCAATGTTTTGCCGTGTCAACAAATACACAATATTTCAAATCTAATTTGCGCCCATGACAAAGAACATGCGGAAATAAACAGGATGAGTATCATTGAACACAAATCGATGTGAAGTGTGAACGTAATTGAAATAATTGCTCAACTCAACGCTCGTATTGAAATACAATCCTAATGAGATATTAACTATTTTATAATACGTTAAGGTGTCCAATTTTATGATGTACCCAAAATTACTAAATTTATTTTTACATTTATTTAATTTAAAATATTTATATCGCCCTATATAGAGGATAATAATGACGAATCTGATGAGTCCTCTAATCACTATTCTATTCTGAATGATTGTGAATGCTCTGATTATATTCCCCGTAGTTCAATGCGCTGTGTTCCGAAATTGTCGAAAAGGTCTGATGGTAATTTCCAATTTGAACCGTAAGCGAACGGTAAATGATTCAATAATCAAACTTTAATTCCACTTAATAAACACAATTAAACCGAATAAATTAGATTTTCGTCTGGCGGCGACGACGAAACAAGTGCCGGTAAAGAGGAGTAGTAGAAGCGCAGATTGATGAAGATCCTTCATCGTCGAGAATTCGACGAACCGTGTGGACTCATCGAGTCCTATCTAGTTGATTCGATGGGACGTCAGACGCGTGACCGATTCATATGCAGAACAGGAACGGAAAGGACTCAGAAGTAGTAGTAGGTACGTACCAGCACTAGAATAGTGAGCTCGGTCGACAATTACCCTTCTGTGCTCCAAATTTGATTATTAATCAAAGATGTAAAGCGTTGGGATAGGGCTTTGTACCGAGGCACACAGGACGAGACGAGACGAGTACGAGGAGCAAGTGAAGTGAAGTAAGCGATGAGAATGATGATGAAAGTTGCGAGAATGTGAACGAATTCAATGAAAACTTTAAACACACATTCGTTGTAATTGAGTCAAAATATTAAAGACCAAGAAGCAGAAGCAAAAATCGAGGTGAGTGAATATTATGGAAAATTCAGCGACATGTGCAACAAATTTCTGTTTAAATTTTAATCGCATAAACCGCACTTGGTAACCAGAATCACTAACCTTATCACCAACCTCATAGAATATATACCAATTATTTCCAACTGGTGTGGAAATCCTCCCGCTGCTAGGTTTAAATAAACACATTCCTACTAATTAAAACGTTAGTTATTCTTATGTTTTCATTCACTAAACTAAACTAAAACTATTCCTTCTATTCTGTTATTTGCACTTTAGAAGGATTAAAGTAAAACTTGAAAATCGATAGTGGTGGTGATACTTAGATCTCGAGTGATTTCGAAACTCTGTTTTAGTGATTCACAATACGCCATCGACCAACCACAAACCACATCCGGTTTTGGTGAACAACAGACATTGAGCAGTAGTGGTTTTGGACCAAAGTAACGGGCGCCTCTCACGACGATATCGAAGCGTGCGGCATAACGAAAAGCACTACCATAACATTATCTTTAAAGTGCGGCAGCGGCGGCGGTAGCATCCTAATCTCAGGACATGTGCACGAAAACCCACTATTTGGAGAACCCACGCAGTGTTATTATATATTACGGCAGAAATATAAATACCAAAGACAAAACACATAAACCACACACTCGAGAGATAGCGGTCTTTAGTGCGACCAGCTGAGCATAAATACGAAGTGCACTAGCTTCAGCTCAAGATGAGAGTAGCAGTGTAAGAGTAACCATTAAAGTAAAACGGGAAGCGTAATTGTAATAGCCAAGGCGTGCGCGTAGGTAAATTAGTTCGAAAGGGAGAAGCACACCACATAATTATCATGGGTTAATAATAGATTATGGTTTTTAGGCGCAGCATGCGACCCCTATGTCAAAACATCTCTTGAATTATACACAGAATTTATGATTTCTCATATTATAACTCACTTGATTAAAAATTACATTTCCACGCATTGTATAGCAGCAAAACATACCTGAAACACAAAAACATCAATTAGTACAAAATTAATCATACAGCATCCCATGCAAGAGTTTAATAATTCGAATAATCCTAGCAATTAGTAGTTGGTTTTGTATATTTAATGCTCTATCAAACGAATGCACAGTATTATGTTTCAATTGAATTGTTGCAAAATTTGCAAAACAATAAAAAAACTTATAATTAATTTTATTTCAACAATTTTGATGTTGAAACTAAATCGGTTGAAAGCAACTCCCTTATTGACATGTGCGGAATGAACCAAATACTGCGCCTCTGATGGCGTTTAAAGCCACTATCGGAACTTTATGCGCGCATAGTCAGATTAATACTCGATTTCTCGGCGCGCTTGGCTCATTGCACACATTGTGCGACCGTACACAATGCGTGTTTCACGCTTCGCCTGTTTCAATATTTAATAAGCACTCCCCTCAGACGCGATTGTAAATTGGAAATGAAATTGCCATTAACGATATACAATTGATTTGCAACAAATGTTGTATAAATTGGATTAAATAACACTGTGCATTCTGAATTTAATTCCGTAAGTACTGCAAGTTGATTGGATCTGATTTGATTTAATTTATTTCATTGGATTTCGGGAAAAACTTTTGATAGTTCTTTTTGTTTAAGATTAGGTTATTTTACGCGTTTGTCTCTGATTTTTTTTTGCGCGACGAGTATTGTTTCACTTCCTGTATCGCTAAGCAACCCCGAGAGGCGTCCCGATGCGAGAGATTCCGAAATTACATTCTTGCATCTCGACTAAAAGCGTCGTTCGCAGGCGGGTGCAACTTCTTTCTCGCTTTCGAATGTGTCGAAACCGTTCGTCGTATACGGAAATGTACCATCGTATAGATTTCCTCTCGGCGTGGAATTCGACAACGCGCTTCGTTATTCTTCCGCCAATTTATATGCGCAACGAAAACGAACAGAACAGAAAAAAACGCAAAGAACGGAAAAACTTATTGAAAATATTGAATATTTTTCTTTAGGCAAAATTTTATCATTCGCGTTTGATTTATGTAAATGGGTAGAAAAAAAATGAAGGTAATAATTTAATGGAGCAAACCCAACAAATGGTTCGTACGAGTATTACTGAAAAATGGAAACGAAAAAACGCTCACAAGAAGAAAGAAGCAAGAAAAGCTAACGTGAATTATACATGTATTAGAACAACCTTTGATAACGTTCAAAACGTTGGATTGTAATGGAAAATGCTAAAATTCCACGCACAAAGAAAATGCTGATTTGGCTTCCGATTCTAGAGCAAATGGCACTCGAAATTTCCCAAATTTTAAATATAAATACGCAAAATAAATATGCAAATGACTGTTAAATATAAATGTCGAGAGTACGAACTCACATGTGGAATACTAATTCACCATAGAAAAATTCGAACGAAAGCATAAAAAGTAAAATTAAAATTAAAATCAAGTACAAGCCAAACATTTTAACTCTAGGACCTGAACACGTGTATTCCATTAAAATCAGTTCAACGATTGATTTGTACATTTAAATATTCATACAAAACATTCCCCGCAAACATGAAAATTCCTAAATGAAATATTTTTATTAGCAAACGGAATACCAAAATGCGAAAAAATGTTAAAACCTGCAAAACATTCTGAATAAAACCACGAAAATACGGAAATACTGAAAAGACTGGAAAATAACAAAGCGTATGAAACGTGCAAAGTTTCCTCCAAGCACTAGCACAATATATTTATCCGTAAAAATTCAAAACTAAAATAAATTAATACGTGTTCGTTGGGGGGTTGAATTTAGTGACCCCCCGAGGGCTAATCAACGCACTGTGTCTCGCATCTCACGGCAAGCGCAGTGTTTTATTCACGCACGGCAAACCACGATATGTGCGCGTTGGGTGCGTTAGGGGATATGGAAGCAGTTGCGCATTCCCGGTTCCGACATGGCCCTTGTCGAGTCTAACTCCGTTATTTTGGACAACTCACTACGATACCACCTATTCGGGTTCGAAACCGGAAAACCACTCCCACAACCCCACGGTATCATCATCATCAACCACAACCGTGACAGTGACCATTATGCCATTAGAGGTACACCCTCATAATCACCAACAAAGAAAACCACCCCCTAAGGATAATTTATTATGATTATGAAAAGTTGGAATTTATTTCGAGAAAATAAACAACAAGCCCGAGATGAGTTACATTTTAAATTAATATATTCGTAACATATTCTGTAAATTACCAAACAACCCTTAACGCTTCGCCAGCCTATGGTAGCCGGCGTAAACCCGGAGAAAATTGCAGATCGCCCCGGGGTTAAAATATTATGAATGATATGGTAATTATGAGCAGCGGGGAATTTAATATGTGAAAAATGCGAGGCTATTAAAGACCCGGTTTAATGCTCGCCGACCGCCGCCGCTACGGCTGTATATGGTTAAACCATAATTCGTCCAGGCGCGCTAAAACCACCACCACCACAGCGCGACGAGCGCTTAACACCCCCGCACCAATACTACCACGACAAAAATCAAACAGTACAGCAACAAGACTGAAACCAAGGCACTATGGTACTGACGAGCGCAACACAGCGCACCACCAAGAAGTGGTTACGTGTTGATTTTGTGGTTGTGTAATGGATGATCATATTTCATATCGTTCTCAGCCAAACACACAACGAGTAGACTGATGTGGTGCTAAGTTTTAGAGCAAAAAGATAAAGTTAACTAGAGTAACTTACTAGAATTAATGCGCGGGTGTTGAAACGTATGAAAAATACTCTTTTTTAAAGCCTATTTTCTTGTCGATTCGTTAAATTGCTTTTTATTATTAACTAGCTGTTGCCCGCGACTTCGTTCCGGCAGTGTTTAATAAAATGTAATTCGTTTTTTACTCTCTTGTTCTAGACATATACGTAGTAAATTGAATTCTATCAATAAGATTAGCAATTTTAATTTAAAGAAATTATGCATATAAGTTTGTCAATAATGCACTTCAGCGCGCCATCTCGGGTAACTATTTAACTATAACTATGATTGAATCTCAATGTCAAATTTTATTCTATAGAAAGAGCTGTTTTGGATTTTCCCGGCAATTATTCAGTTTCTCGCAACTTAAACTTCCTTAGACCTCCACGAATAATTCAAGACCAAGATAAGATAAATCCGTTCAGCCGTTCTCGAGTTTTAGCGAGACTAACGAACAGCAATTCATTTATATATATATATATATAGATAAAATAAGTTTAATAATAAAATTTTCAATAGTTATCTCTTTATAGCTTCGATTAGAGCATGTTAAATCGAAATGTGGGTCAATACGTAATTTTATTACCCATAAAATACGTTATTAAACTTTTCAAATTTAACTCAGACATATATTATATTTTAAAACTGATTGAAAAGTTTTCCTACATCAAACTTTTTAAATTATAAATATCAGAGATATGTTTTTTGTGCTCATCATCATGTCAAATGTATCGTGATGATGATGATAAAATAGAGTAAGAAAAATTTGTTCACTCGGAAATTGCCACCACACGCTCGAGATCTCACCTACATGCCCACACAGCTTCATTCCAGATTATCACCCCGCACACCTTTTTGCCATCGACATTGACACCTCCTCCACTTCGCCCCCAAATGTACATAAAACAACGTTCATGTTCAAATTTGTTTTTTTTTTTCTCTCTTTGCTTCCAAGAGGCAGCTAATAATAAGAATGAGAAACTCTGAGGGTTGTGCGCTCGTGATCCGACAAGAAACGACACCACCTCCACCGCAGTGGAATGAAGGTATAACTAATACAAATATTTGGTTAGCTTATGCCCTCTGCCAAGTTTCGCGCGGTTGGAATCCGACGCGGGTGGAAAATGCACAGTCGTTCGCGGCGAGAATTTTCCCCAAGTATGCATGCACTGAATACCATTCGGTAGATGATCTTGCTGCAAGTTAGTGCAGCAGCACGTCATCCTCATCGGCGCGTTGTCGCGCTGCATGCAAATGAAGCCTCGAAAAAACGATCCTCGCGCGAAATTGAGTCGCACGACGTCGAGACTGTCAATAAAGCTCTCGGCTGCTCAAGCTCAAGCTAAAGCACTGAGCCATGATAATTTTCTGCACGTCGACGCCACCCGACATTTTGCAAATTGTTTTTTTATACTCTCCAGACCTAAACGGTTGTGTGACAAAAAATTCATAAGTGTCCAATATTCACCATAATTTACTATCATCATCAAGTTCCGTGTGTATTTCCCACGAGTGCGACTAGAATTTCCACGCCGTCTTGAGATGCGTGGCCGCATTAAAAATTAATTCGACAATTTCCACAGTTTAATTTTGTTTGCTACACGCTATTTTCCCAAAGGAGGAAAAATTCCAGCGTCTCGGCATAACAAGCGCGGAAAACTACTTTCAATGTTTGTCGAAATACTTAAGATGCGACGCTGTCGTATTTCGCGACAATTTACACAATTTTCTGCGAATGTTAACCAAGCGTACCGAGGATTTCCATGAATTATTAAATTAATGCAGGCTGTTAGTGGAAACCAGCGCAGGATTCCCCGCTGAATTCTATGAAATAACGCATAGTTATGCATCGGAATAAACAAGGAGATTAAAACCGTCGCAGTAAATGGAAAAACAAGCAAAATATTCATTTGAAGCAAATCTAGATTCATAACAAGACATCGCGACGAGGACATTCACTCCTGAAAGCTTGGTACAAGCTCTGCTTTCACATCACAGTAAGTTTTAAGCCAAATTGTTGCAGGGTTGT